ATATATGCTTGTATACACACACACGCACAAAACACACACACGCACACACACACACACACACATATATATATGTATTTATACAGACACAGACACAGGTACAGGCACAGACACAGACACTTATTTATATAGATACATTCATAAATACTTACGCACACACACATACATACATACACACACACACACACACACACATATATATATATATATACTTATATATATATAGATAAATATACATATATAGATATAAATGTGTGCGCATGCATATATGGGTACTTCCCGAACACAAGCTGTGAATCTATCAAATACGATTGCCAAAAAGTGATATCTGCTTCACGCCCTGTCCGTTTGTTAGGACACTAACCACGCTTACAACTATCAAACAAAGACATGCTCATATATCAAGCGAAGATACAAATGGATAGACCAAACCATACCAAGAGCGGTTTCGCAGGCTGAGCGTAGACTGGCATGTTGACTCTTCTTCGTTTCCTTCTCGCTGAGGATTTTCTGCAACGCTCTCGTAAGGAACATGTTGCGGACCGACATCTTGTGCTCACTATAGGGCACAAGCGTGCGAGCTACGGACAACTACGTGTGCGTGTACAGATATATAATATATATATATGTACTGTTGCTATTCTGTATACTTACTACAAGTATGTATCTGCATGTGCCGGTGACAAAGCACAGTTATACTAAACTTCGCGTACATCCGCTATATTTATTCTATCATCGCAAGAGCCAAGTTTGTTTATCAAAGTTGAACTTTTAAATAAATACATTTGGTTGTGTAAAGTATTGACAGTGATTAGTCATAATTGTTGTGACCTATGAGTAAGTGTTCGTTTTTGGTTGCTGGGGGGCAACCTCAGTTCGTTTCTCGTTAAAACGGTTCAAAATTTAGTCTACTTTTGAGTTGAAGGGTACATAGATGATTTAATCCTTTTCCAGAGTAAACGTTTACATTTAATGTTTACTGCAACGGTACTTTTTTCTTCCAAAAAAAGAGGACAAAACGCCGATGGTCTTCTTGATTAGTATTTATGTAAATATATTTTTAACACGACCCTTCACTACTCTACTTGTGAGAGAGAAGAAATAAAATAATAAATATGCCTGATCGGACTACATATTGTCCAAAGGACTATATAAACAATAAAATACATACATATTTGTAAATATTTATGAAGTGCATAGTTCTCAATTTATATGTATGTAGTATGTATCAATTTTAAATATGTATGTACTTCATATACCATCATTTGCTGATCAATATTCTCATAGTATGTAATAGCGTTGTTAGTCCTTGTAGTTGCGTTTTCACAGATAACGTATTCTATGGTATTATTTAAAACTTCGCCATAAACGTATCTAGCGCTGTCGCAATATGATAAATCAACTACACAACAATTCGATGCACAGTATTCGACCTCCTTTATTTACTGCGAGTATAAGCGTACGTTCAAGTCTACGAATTGTAGCAAGTGTTTGGTTCGATAACGGACGTCTGGTGAGCCTTCACACGCTCACTCCTCGATGGCGAGTGTGTGGCCCTTGTTATCAGACGACAGTGTTTGCAACTCTGGCAAATCGATCTCCAATACGCCGTTGCGCCGAGATGTCTTGATCTTGTTGGGATCCATGCCACGGGGTACGTTGAATTCTCGGCGGAAGCTGGACGCCGAGCGTTCCTTCATCTGGACCAGGAAAGTAACAAAAAATCAGTTTAAGGTGAGGGTGGAGAGAATAAAAACCCTGATAGGTGTACCATAGAGCAGACCAAGCACGAAGTAAATGCGCTTACAACAAAAGATTGCGCGCCACTAGTACAACTATTGTGTGGCATTGGAACTTTGAATGATGCATTCCCACAAGCAGTTTCTGGCTTGTTGGTTAACATACCTTCCAATTACGCCCTTCTTTCTCAATATTGCCCGTGTCCATAGAGCCTTCCACAATCAAACGATCGTCATTGTAGCGCACTGCAACATCGTCTTTTTGTATTGCGATGTACACAGAATAGAGGCAGAGGGTACGCTTAGATAGTAGATGACAAATAAAATGATCTCAACTGTCTCGAAACCTCGGCTTCTGTGGGGTGAGAAAGCACGACAAAGTCGTATGGCAAGATGCGCTGCTTTCGAGCGGCAAATACTGAAGACAAATAGCGTCCCCAGGCAGGATGATTCGCCATTGGTAGCATGGCAAAAACAAAGATCACGTTGAATTCATCCGAATACCTTCATTCCAGACACTTCCAAATCAATAACGGTATGTTCTTCCGGTGTGGTGTAGACGTCACATCGCGGGTAGATGTCACGATCCACCACTGGATACGAACTGCGGTATATTCTGGGAAATCATTCTGGAAGAAAGACGGCCATTCTATAGACTGGATTAGCAGACAAGGAGTTTTCAAGTTAGCCTTTTGTGTAAGAAGCAATACTATTTTAGAAGAAGAAAGTTCACTGAGCTAACCTTTGTTGTCTCTATAAATTGTAATAGCAGATAAAAGTAGTATTATATACAGAAAATGGTTGAGAAAGCACGACGCAAGCATGTGCGTAGAATAGCTCGATGGGTCGTACTTGTACACACCCGTCTTACCAGCGAAGGCAACAAGGAGGTCGCGTACGGATTGAAGTTCATCAAACGCTGGAGAGACATAGTGGCAGGCGTGTGAAGGTATATACTTAAGTCAGGGGCTCTGGTTGTGGTAGCACTGTGACCGGGCGTGCTTGATCGCTCGCAGGTTTATAGTCTAGTATCGAGACACGGAATAGCTGAAATTCGGTATCGTGTAGTCATGCTTTTCACAAGTTTGTTTTGACCAAAGCATCATTCTATGAGTCACTATGGAGAGATTAATCGTAGATACAGCAGTCAGGACTACACATACTCTGCAGAAGAGGTAAACATGTTAAATGAAACGACACGAAGAGGTAAACATGTTAAAGGAAACGAAAGATAGTAAATACATGTATGCATTGACATGATAAAACGCAACAACAAAAGTAGTGCAACTGTGCTTTAAATTTACTTTATTATCAAGAAGAGGTAAATGTGTCAAATGAAATATTGAGCGATCCGACGAAAGATATAACAAATATCATAGCCTTCTAAATCATACATAAATATACGCATCTACAGATGACATGCAACAGCGAAAGTAGTGCAATTGTGTAAAAAATACATATTTATGACACATACATATAGAACAAAAAAAAAGATGGAAACAATCACCGGCATCAAATAAACAACGAGTCATCTGACACTGTGTCACGAAAGGTCAAATGGGCGGGAACCTGCTAATCTGCTAACTGAACGATGTTTCGTACATTGTACTACCACAGTACTTTATGACCAAGAGAATAACAAATAAAAACTATGTCGCAAAGTATCTATTCCATAAATATCGATGCACGGCTGAACATGTTTTAAAATATCCATCACCTGAAGATATAATATACGACGAGATGTGTACCTTATGTCTTTTATGCTTTTTTCGGCTTTCTGTGAGTCGACCGCTGGCCGCTGCCTCTCTATTTTGCCGGGCGTTTGGTTATTATTTAGTGGTCCTCTCGTTATATATATTTATATATATAAATGTATATATATATATATATAGTATATATATATGTTTATATATATATATATATACATATACTATATATATATATATATATATATATATATATATATATATATATATATATATATATATATATAAAATATACACATAAATATGTGTATATGGATAGATGTAACAAGGATAGACGGATAGTTAAGAGGTGCATGACCATACAAGGAGCTAAGAAGTAAAAAGCATATAGGCATTACAAGGGACTGCACGCTTGCATACATTGCTCTCATAGTCACGCTTGGTTAAATATCACACACCCACGTCGCAACATCAATCAGGCAAGCTGGCTTGTGATAAGGCTGTAGTGCCTGTGTGTTTAGGCTCACTTCGCACGGCGGTGGCCACAGCCTGGTCCGACGACTACTACCTGGACGATACCTCAGATCTTAAGGCGACACGTGACAAAACACCAACCAACACACCTGGTGCCAAGCTCCAACCGTCCCGTACGGCCTCTCACACGGACAATCTAGACATCACACACGGGGGTCTAATTCTGCATTCACCTCAGGACACACGCCTCAGTATGTCGGACGAGAAAGTGCCCCAGGTACAGTCACAGACTGTTACTACCACTGACACACAGGCGGATGTCACACCAACCAAGGTACCCGATATGCATGTGTCTAAGATACCTGTACACGCACACACTGAGCCCAAGCGTAGAACGAATCCCAGCGGCTTAGGCACATCCTACGTCAGGTCACCGCAACGGTCACCGGCCGGAAGCAACACGACACTGGACGAGCTCGAGTATGTCGTTGATTTCAAAGTTCGGTATTTGAATGCGCGTGTGTGTGCTTTTGTGCTGAGTCATGGCATTGATGTCAACTACAGCGTGGTCCGTATCATGTCTGTTTGTCACTGTAAAGGGAGCTAGTGCTTGTGTATTGAAGTCGAGTACACATACCTTCATGCTCAATTGGTGGTGTCTATATAAGTATTTTGTACGCTGGGAGAATGAGTATGTCACATGCAATCTGCACTCATACCGTTATACAGTGCAGTTAGAGCCTGCACACACACACCTCTCATTGTTTTTAATCTCATCCCCTATCCGTGACGCCCAAACGGGTATCTACTTTTGCTAATACGATAAGCCTGTACAATCCTATTGCCAATCGCACAATGTATGATCCGAGCGGTAGTATTGGTAGAGGCTTTGGCGCGTTTTATTGGTGTCGCCACTCACGCCGGGCCTTGCATTAGGATTTCTTATATTTGGATTTTTTATTTTTGGATTTCTTTATTGGGATTTCATTCATCAGGATTTCTAGTTTAAAAAAACTTCTATTATAACACCCATGATAAACATACATAGACTCGGCTTCTAGTACGATAATAGATCAGGCAAGCGCAAGCGAGCCCTAACATCGCCCTTTCTTGATCCCATAGCATTGTGCTTGCTTATGTGAGCAGATACAATATCACACATTAATCCACTAATCGTTAGTCTTAATGGTGTGGCTTTTGCACCTGTCTGATACTCTCACCTTTGCTTCACCCCATGTTAATTCTGGTTGACATAGAGGGTTTTCTATCGCACATTGGTTCACTAATCGTTTGCACTAATGGTGTGACCTTTGCACCTGACCGATTATCGTACCTTTGCACCTGTCCGATTATCGTACCGTTGCACCTGTCCGATTATCGTACCTTTGCACCTGTCCGATTATCGTACCTTTGCACCTGTCCGATTATCGTACCTTTGCACCTGCCCGATTATCGTACCTTTGCACCTGTCCGATTATCCTGCCTTTGCACCTTTTGATCTGTTTTTTGTGTGCACCTGTCTCATTGACCTATCTTTTGCCTCGCCCTAATTCTCTATGCAATAGACTGCCGCGTATGGATTTTTCGTTGAAGAACTTTGTGCCCAAATCAGCGGCGGAACTTTACAAGGAAACAAGCGAGAGGAAAAAGACGTAAGACTATTTATAGATGTAAGATCTGAGGCTATTTGTAGTTGTACGACTATTTATAGGTGTAAGGCTATTTATAGATGTAAGATCTAAGGCTATTTATAGTGGTAAGATCTAAGACTATTTATAGTTGTAAGGCTATTTATAGGTGTAAGATTATCTATAGATGTAAGGCTATATATAGATGTCAGGCTGTTTATGCCTATGCACGTGCAGAGTACAACTTCTGTAGGATACGGATATTCACATCTACCACAGAGTATATGGATCTACATGTCACACCTATGCGTTTGTCGCGGGGCTCTCCTGTGCAGCTATCCTTTTCGCGTAGCTAGGTGCCGGGGTCGTTTGTGTGAAGTGTATCTCTGACAGGTGCATGCATGCATGCATCTAAAACCGGCCAGAGCCAATCGGTCCCAATGCCGAGGCTAGGGACGCAATTGACATATCGGCGTGCTCCTCGATTTTAATATGCCATACAATAGTGCAGCTTAGCGTATGCATGTATTCTATTGGCTCCGAGATAAATCGCCTGAGGGCTTAACCCGCCCTTGTCTGTAGGCGAGTGTATCCATAGTCGTGAACGCGTGTATTCGGAAACACCCTATATATATATATATATATAATATGACACACAATAGTCCAGCGAGCGTATGCATGTATTCTATTGGCTCCGAGATAAATCTCACGAGGGCTTTACCCGCCCGTGTCTGTAGGCGAGTGTATTCACAGTCGTGAACGAGTGTTCTAGGAAACACCCACTCAGACCATGCATGCTCATGAGTAACTCTTCAATCCACGCACCAGTAGGTGGATAGACTTAGTATGTGCTAGGATAGGTGCTCTTGCATCGCGCACCAGTAGGTAGATAGACTTAGTATGTGCTAGGATACGTGCTCTTGCATGACACTCTCTGACACCTTGGTGTCACTCACTCTCCGCTACATCCATATTTGGCCTCCGCAGTGACAAGTACGCGCACGTGAAGTCACGTGTGGGGTCGTTTGATAACATCGGTTATAAGTCCGGCAGCATGAGTACGGGCAAGCCCAAGCAGAAGATCACGTCACAACGGGCACACTACGAGAACGTACAAGCGAAGGTACCAAGCATCGGATTGCATGCATGCACACGTGCCTGTGTATATGGTGTATATGGTTGCTGTATAAGCAGTTGGTCGAGCAATGAGTATAGTATATCAATAGTATGAGAACTTACAAGCTAAGGTACAAAGCATCGGATTGCACGCATGCACACGTGCTTGTGTATATGGTGTATATGGTTGCTGTGTAAGTAGTTGATCGAGTAATGAATATAGTATATCAATACTACGAGCATACAAGCTAAGGTACTAAGTATCGAAATGCATGCACACATGTCCGTCTATATGGTTGCTGTATAAGTAGTTGATCAAGTAATTTGTATGGTATATCAGCACTATGAGTTATGTAAGCAGACAGCCGCATGTCGGTTTTGCCACGCGTGTTTGTATGATTTCAAATAAATATAAAGCCGCGTCACACAGTTCTACTTTAGTGGCAGTAGCAGAGCGAGCATGCGCACGCAGAGAGATGCATACAATTAGAAACGTGTGTGTACAGCTGGTGCATAGGGCACTAGCACCGCACCAGACGCCAACGTGCTTGCCCAATCTCTGCAGGCGTCCCTATCAGTATGTATACATATATACATACATACATACATACATACAGAACATATATATACATACATATATATATATATTATAGTTATGTGGCTATACGCTTTAACTAAGGACGCTTTCTGGCCTAGAAGATGATTTATTCTCGGGTCATAGCGAAACTGCAAAGTTCTGGATAGGACTAGAAACCCAATAGCTAGTGGAGAGACACAGGCACAACTATACGCCTGGGCGTATGTATGTATGTATGTATGTATGTATGTATGTTAACGTACTCGACATACACTGTCCAATTAAACATCGTACTCAATACGAGAATGTGCAACATATACACAAAGGAGATAGGACACTACATAAGAACAGGACTTTTTGACACACCATACATAAGCATGTCTTTTCAACACACCATACATAGGCATATGACTTCTTGACACACTATACATAAGCATATGACTTCTTGAAACACCAAACATAAGCATGTCTTTCTAACACACCAGACATAAGCATATGACTTCTTGACACCATGCATAAGCATACGACCGCTTGCTCTGGTCGTACATAACATACACTGACCTGATGGATGCCCTGGCCATTGCTCATCTCTTCAGGTCAGTAGTCACAACAAGAACTTTAAGCCTTCCGAGCCCAAGCCACTACCTGACGTGCCAAAGAAGAAGTTAGATTTCTCACACGTGCGCGCAAAGGTAAACTACATCGGTATCAGAATATTTTCATCCGTTTCCGATTTTATTTGTACATTTGCGAATTGGTAAACTACATCGGTATCAGAATATTTTCATCCGCTTTCAATTATGTATGTACATTTGGCGGATTCGTAAATATATATGAGATAGCTATTTTGTTTTCCATTGTTTGATTTCTAAATGTGTGTCGACGGTTTCGTCAGGTTGGGAGCCTCGAAAATGTCGACCACACCCCAGCCCAGTCTAAATTTAAAATGCCCAACACCAAACTGACCTTCAAAGAATCGGCCAAGTCAAGGGTATGTATTTATAGCTATGAGCGAATCAAGAATAGGTATTTATATCTATGAGCAAATCGAGAGTAGGTATTTGTAATTAGGAGCAAATCAAGGGTGGGTTTCTATAACTATGAGCGAATCAAGGGTAGGTATTTATATCTATGAGCAAACCCAGGATATTTATTTATATCTATGAGCAAATCAAGGGTAGGTATCTATAGCTATGAGCAAATCAAGGGTACATATTTATAACTATGAGCAAATCAAGGATAAGTATTTATAACTTTGATCAAATCAAGGGTAGTATTTAGAACTATGAGCGAATGAAATCTAGATATATATATTCTATGAGAGAATGTGCATCGTATCATAAGCCTCTCGCTTACGCCTACCTTCATAAGCGCAACCGACAAGATGCGCAGGTTAGCTGTGTACATCATTCGGTTGTGCGTATGGGTGTCTGAATCTGTGCGACAATCAAGGCCTCTCCACAGAGACGTCTACTACCGACTACCACTGCGTGTGCAGATGTTCGTGTGTGTGTGCCCACGCGTCACGTCTGTCTGCGCATTAGCCGCCCAGTATATACAAGTGTATATATATATATGTATATGTATACACGTCACATGTGTATGTGCATGTGTATATTCTCTTCCATTTAAGATGTCATCTTTGTAATCTCTCTCAGGTGGGCAGTCTAGACAACATCGACCACGTGCCTGGAGGCGGTGACAAGAAGATTGAGACTCAGAAGTTGAACTACAGGCACAAGGACATCTCGGCCAAGGTATGCATTCAGCGTCTGCAACGGGGCCGTAGTATATGTGGCTGTACGTTGGTTGTTCTGAGGGCTTCGACTATAGGCATGGAGAGGTATCAGTAGCCAGTGCAAGTACGGACACGCCTGACCTTTTGGTAGGTAACGGGTATACGCCTGACCTTTTGGTAGGTATTGGGTATACGCCTGACCTTTTGGTAGGTAACGGGTATACGCCTGACCTTTTGGTAGGTAATGGGTATACGCCTGACCTTTTGGTAGGTAACGGGTATACGTCTGACTTTTTGGTAGGTAACGGGTATACGCCTGACCCTTTGGTAGGTAATGGGTGGGCGAGTGGGTGGATGCCATGTGTCACTGGTTTTAGCGTAGATTGACATCTGCAGGAACGGTTGTGTGTTGTGCGGTAACTAAACTATCGATGACTCACAGCGCGCAAAACGTTTACGCAAATCCACGCATTCCTTTCCCTGCGGTCGAGCAGTGGCCACCACACAGCCGCTAGCGGTACAACTGCGGTGTCTTTATTCTATTAATAGAAATACCTACCACTCCATAAATAGAAATACATACCACCCCACCCGCTACAGGTGAACAGCCTACCATCCAGCAAGAAGAACTCGGTAGAAAACATGAGCGGCTCCGGCAAGCGCAGCGCATCGGCCAGTGTTGTTAGCAAGGTGAGTGCGAGTGACAAGGGAGTACCGAACTTCGAGGTGGGCCCTACGGATGTGGATGCGCTGACGCAGGGGCTGCAGAAGTTAGAGGTGGAGGAGAAGGTATGAGAGGGGGGCGTTGCTGTGTGCGAGGAGAGGGTCTTTGGATATGTGTATATGCTGAATGGACCCTATGCTATGTATGCAGGCGTGCCTTGGAAGGTGTCTGTGTGAGTGTATGTGTGTGGTGGTTGTAGTGTGATTCTGGCAGACATGTGTATTGTGATTCTGACAGACATGCCTGTACGTATGCGTATTGTATGTTATTTATGAACAGTCAGTCTCTAAGTATATATGGACCCCCTATAAACACGATTAAACAAATTCGGAGTGGATTTCAAGAAGAGTATCTTTGTGTGTGTGTGTATTTGATTTCAACACGTGTACATGTGTTGGCATGCGTTACATAGAGGTGTGTGTACATTACATGATGTGCGGGTGCAGATATGTTTCAAACACAGGTACTTCTTATTGGCTATTCGATAATCGTCCATATAGTCATATGCCTGTCCCAATTCTTCGAGTGGTGCATGATTTACCACTCAGAATGCTGGTTGTCACGCATACGTTAGTTAGTCCGCTTGCGAGTAGTAGTAAGTAGTAAGGAAGGATTATGGGCGTGTACACCTAGCGTATATAATATGAAGTATTTATGGGCGTATACACCTAGCATATATGATATAAAGTATATATGGGCGTATACACGTAGCATATATAATATAAAGTATTTATGGGCGTATACACCTAGCATATATAATATAAAGTATTTATGGGCGTATACACCTAGCTTATATATTATAAAGCATATATATATAGAATGACGCCAGGCACCTGTAGTGTTGATCTGTTCTGAGCTGTTACTGAAGTCCCCGTACAATTTCTTCCCAACGAATGATGTACTATAACTCGTTGTAGTTCTCGTAAACGCACGCTGATGTAGCATCTTAGCACTCGAGCAATGTGTAAAACCGGCACTCGCTGGTAGGTAAAGATATCTTTGTCACACCCATACCTACCAACGTTGGTCCCAAACCCCTTACATGCTCGGAACAAGTACAACGTCAGTGATATATATATATATATATATATTATAGACCGCAACACAGTTTAATTTGTCAGTAGCCTCCATCTGAAGATACCCTTATCGCTGTGCACGTGTATGTAAAAGCAACAGATTCTTAATACGTGCTATTGTGCTTCTCCGCAACTCCAGGCCATGAGTGAGCCGGCCCTGCACGTCTCATCGTGAGACGACTCTGTGCGGTTAGACAGCCGCAGACCCCCAACGGTGTGAAGGGAGCCACCCCACACATCAAGTCACACCAAGCTACACCAAGTGACCTCAATGTATAACCATGCTGATCAATGCATATCAATGCATATTGAGATGGCGAGCGAGCGCCTTGGAATCGAGAGAAGTGATCATCCTGTGACACAGTCGGATGGGTCCGATGACTCGTAGAGTGACTACCATCTCTGCGGGGTCTTATCGTCACACGGCACACACAGTAACAACAATAGAATATACCTTACTCGCAGCACTCCCATCATTTTTGGACATAGTATGTAGATGCAGGAAGTGGAGAACGTGACCACACCCCAGGCTGGAACGATGTCAAGCTGGCTGTGGTGGGTCGTATAGTATCACTTCCAGTCTGCCAGTAGACAGTAGGGTTCCAGAATAAGTAAAGACTTAGAAATGTGTGAAATTCGCGTTTTGCTCGATAGGTGAGTGATGATTGTATGTGCTTGAATAATGTGTTTTTATATACGAACACATACAAACACAGACACAGACAGACACACACAGACACAGACACACACAGACACAGACACAGCCATAGACACAGACACACACACACACACACATATATATATATATATATATATATACATATATATATATATACTAATACACATCAGTAGGTTCTACATATCAGCGTTAAAGGAACTAGATGGGAGGGCGTGACTTGATACGCAAAGTATGTGCCGTTGCCTTCCATTTATTTTAGACGTGCGCTACAGTGATATCGAATTTGTACAAGTGCTTGATTATGTCGCCGTGTAGATATGTATTTCTGGAATAATTTAGTTTTGATCTAGAAATGATAATCGATACCAATTTCGCACACATCAGGAGCGGTGTATATGCTTGTCGCTATACAAATGTATGCACTTCTGGGAATCTTCACAATTTCTAGACCGCTGACCATATTCTTTATTCTAGTGGATGTATCCTGATAGAGGATAGGATATTCGCATACGCTAACAGGTGATCTGGTATTCGTACCCGGGGTTCGTTAAAAACTAGGATACGGACCATCGCTTTGCTACACTGATCCTACTACATTGCAAATATGGTTAGGCCACTCGTTCATTTATTTCTTCCTTGTAGCAAGCGAAGTTTGTGCAGCGTCGTTGCGACGTACAGAAGTAATCGTAAAGCCACCAAATCAATCACTATCAGTACCTCGACACCTCGAGTCACGACTGTCACGTCACGTACAGATATATTTATTCAAGCATCTGTCCGTGCTACTCTCCCAGTGCATATTATCTTACGCAAACAGTCGTGCCGGGGGTGCCGCTATTGCATCATCTTGTAATTTATATATATATTTTATATATGTATATATAATTAGAGATTATCGTTAGATACTCGGTGCCGCTATTGCATCATCTTGTAATTTGTTTTCATATTTTATATATGTATATATAAATAGAGATTAGTGATAGATACTTCGGGCTTCGGCATAAAATATCTTGTGACTTCCACATAGGCTGAATACTGAATAGTAAACAGTCGCTGTAGCCTCTCTCCTCTTCTTGTTGTGTTGGAGCTTGATAGATTGATGGACTTGAATCTTGATTCATTTTTGGGGGTATATTGCGAGTCGTTTCTTTAGAAAAAAACAAAAACAAAATATCCAGCCGGCGCGGCGGCGCCTCACTAGGCATAGTATTGCACACTCGGTGCCTCAGTCTGTCTAGATATCTGCAGCTGGCCAGTGTTGAAGTGAATAGAGAGACTGAGAGAGAGCGTCGGAACCATTGTCCCTGACGACCGAATTATTGAGGTACCTTTGTCCTTTGATCGCAACAACTCCAATTCTCATTCTCCACCGCCCACCGGGCCTGATAACCTGATAAGCGCTGAGGCCTTAGGGCCATACTACTAAATATTTACCCTTCAGTCCTTCACAGCACAAATGTCTTTGCCCTCTGCCCTCTGCCCTCTGCCCTCTGCCCTCTGCCCTCTGCCCTCTGCCCTCTGCCCTCTGTCATCCGTCTTCAGGACACTGGAGACTGGGCCACAGGAGATTGTCAAATGTCACTGGCCCCTGGACCCGAGGCCTGAGTCCCTGACTCTGTCTCTCTGCTGGTGAGACTCTGGGCCTTTGGGAGCAGCTTTTAAATTCCTGTGTAGTTCCCGTGGCCATGGAAAGTCAAAGCCTAGCGACTCGCGGAGTCGCGTGATTGTTACAGATAAATAGTCGGATACGTTTTAGTCTACAGTAGTACAGTCTACAGATACGTATGTATTTATGAAAAAAAATACATATAGGAGTCGGACATGAGGCATAGACTAATAGTGAGTACATATGAGCCACTATTATGTACGCCTCTACATACGGTGTCGGGCCCCGGAAGTCGCCTGAGTCGGCCTGACTCGACTCTTTGAGATAGCTCCGGCCTCCGAGTCGTTGACAACCCCTGTGAGTCCTGAAGTTCTGAACTCGGAACTCCTGACGTTTCACTTTTCAGAAGACTCGATGAGTGGAGACTGGGGTGTCTAAACTCTGAAGACTGACATTCACCCCTGGAGTCCTGGACATTCACCAGGTCTCAGATCTGAATCTAAATGCTACCAAATAAGGTCATTAGGTTCTAGGGTTTAAACGAATTGCAGTGCTTGATTGTTATTTTAAATTGCGCAACCCAATCAATTGGTAAACAATTCCAACCACTGAAGACATTGGCTTTTATTAGTATCTCTAGTATCAAAGTATCATACTTGATACTTCATAGCTTTCTTCTAATAAATCAAACCTACATATTTACTAGGAGTAACGAATCTATAGCAAATTTTTACAGAAATTTCATTCTTTTTATAGCAAATTATAGAGCAATAAAAGGTATCATGTGATATTCGGTATTCCTCTATTCCGTATGTAAATATGGCTTTATAGTTTATGCAGCCGTAAGTCCGTAACTCGTAAGCCGTTGTGCATTAATTTTGGGGTTTTTTGTTGGGTAAAAAAAAACAATATTTTACTCAGTACATATGTACGCCCTAGTAGTCTACCCATACGCCGTGATGTTCATTCAGGGTTTACCGTGTCACTCAAATAGAGCGGACGAATTGAGTGCATACATGTGTGCATTTTTGTTCTATTTTCAGAAGGCTATGATTTTATAATTAATACATATACGGTGCGTGGATCATTTCAGATGACATTTTATCTGAAGGTGACGGCAGATTCCGTTTTAATCCCACACGATACAGGCAGTCTAGGCTTTTATATCCCCTACTCTGCTAAAGCCAGTATATATTATATATAAATATATATACTAACCGACATATAAATATCACATATACAAACACGCCATTTATATTCCTCGGGTGGGTGAACCCAGATCTCAAGATGCCGTATGCCAACCTCAAAGCCGGTCACAAATTGTACTATGACGAGTTTGGTGCCTCCGCAGGCGAAGCCATCGTGTTGGTGATGGGCCTGAACACCCAGTGCATTGCTTGGGATGATGATTTCTGTGAATTACTCTCCAACGATAAAAAATATCGCGTGGTGAGGTTTGATAACCGGGACATCGGTCTTTCGGATAAATTTGAAACCAAAGAGAAGTATAACATTGCGGCGGCATATTTTAAACAGATGCTGCGTATGAAGATCAAGGCTCCATACTCTCTCGTGGATATGTCGAACGATGTGTTCGGGCTGATGGATTGCCTGAACATAGACAGAGCTCATATAGTTGGTACGTTTGCTTGTCTAACTTGCTCTTATATTCTATTGAAGGCCACTTCTCTAGTTAAGTGTTAGTTTGTACCTGTGGTTCTTCTGCTTGCCTGATGTATGCATACTATGCGCTGAGGTTTTGATAAGGATTGTGGCGATCCAGGCTAATTCACCCCCTACAATTTACAGGCGCCTCTATGGGTGGAATGATCTCCCAAATCTGTGCTCTACAGAATCAGTCGCGGTACGTTTGACACACCAAAGTGGACTAATGGCAGTAACATTTTCTCACTCCGTGTGTTGGTGGTGCTATTGACTTTATTAGTGGTGAAATGTGCACACTCACTCCGCGTTCTATTGCACTAGTGACTTAGTTTGGGATACAATGGGCACAGACGGAGTTCGTGTTTCGCCGTGTTGCTTTGTATCGATTGATGGCTGGTTTAATTTCCGGCTTGACACTCTGTAGTTGCTCTCTAGTCCCATACTGGTCACAGTGTGGGTTGCTAATTCGTACTCAAGTGGTGTATGTATGTTTATATGTACGTGTTGAACTCGAACGTATATTTTATGCAGAATTCGCATTTTGACGGCCAGGGCGTTTAGGTCACCCTCCCGACAATTTTTCAGAGGTACAACTAGAATCTGTGTCATTTGTCGGAGCTATAAATATAGTTTGTGTGCAATAGAGATGGTACTACAGACACGGCGGCGTCTTGCATAACCGCGATGTGTGCGGGGCTCTGCCGCTTACACAGACTCACAGTCACGCTGTTTCAATACTGAAGTCACATAAGCACGTGCACATATATAAACACGCGTACATCCACACGCGTGGGCGTATATCCGTCTGCAGTTGGAGAGCACTGGCAAGCATGGTCCTAGGCTGCAGTGGTTTGCCGACGTATTCTCGCACTATGAGTCAGTCACCTGAGCAATGACATCTCATGAATATCTACACCGTCCCAATTAGCGTACCAGTGGTGTAACACTTCTATATGTGGGGTTGTCTTCAGAAGATCAGATCTACAGGCCAAGCATCGATCACACACACATATACACACACACACACACACACACACACACGGCACTGTTTGGATAGTGTGTGGGTATAGCCCTGTTCACGTGTGTGTGACTATGACTCATTGTGTACTAGGCATGCGTGCGCAGTTCTCGCATTTTGTTTTGTGTGTTGTGTGGACAAACGCATATACCTACACACCGATGCCACGCCGTCTCTACCTGAGCGGGGGTGTTCCTCCACCCCAGTACCCCCCTCTCCATTGAACCTGCCCGTATGCACACTGCACTCGGGCCTATCCTCGTACTTATCCTTATTCGCATGCATACCACCCACTGTATGTACACTGCACTCGGACCTATCCTCGTGCTTATCCTTAATCGCATATATAACACCCACTGTACGTACACTGCACTAGGCCTATCCTCGTACTTATCCTTATTCGCATATATAACACCCACTGTATGTATACTGCACTAGGGCCTATCCTCGTGCTTATCCTTGTTCGCATATATAACACCCACTGTATGTACACTGCACTAGGGCCTATCCTCGTACTTATCATTATTCGCAAATATATCACCTACTGCGTTGCCAGGGTGTTGTCAATGACGTCCATCATGAGCACCACCAGTGCGCATAATCTACCCAGTGCTAGGTTCAGCCTGATCAGATTAATGCTTAAGCCAAAGCCGGTATGTGTGTGTTTGTATTGAAAGACTACATGTAGGGGATGTTCACTGGACTGTGTTCATAGCAAGTAGATATATATAAATAGATATGGGCGTGTTTGTCTATGGCTGTGCTTATAGCAAGACATATATATATATATATATATATATACACACACATATATATATATG